AATAATTTTTTTAATAAATTATTACATTTAAAATTACTAATTATAAAAAGAATACTAATTTCAAAATCTGTTTATAGTTTACTATTATTACAAAAATTTATAATAAATAATTTTTTTTTAAAAGATATAAACAATATGCGCAAAGCACAGCTTATGGTCTAGTATATAAATAAAATATAAAGAAAGTAGTATTTTTTTTTGACGAATATAGAAGAAGCTTACTTGTTGATAATTTGTTGAGCACATGAAGGGGTACCTTACTGTTTAAAAACCAGATATAATCTTTGATACAGAGGGCTATCCACAGCCAAAATGGATATGAAAGAGACATGAGGATAAACAGATAAATCTCATATATATAGAGAGAGCTTGCCGACGTGGTTACCAAAAAAAATAAAGAAAAAGAGTTATCAAATACGTCATCAATTCATTTTTCTTTTTTAGCAATTCATCTTTTTTATGTACGTATAATATAAGTAAGTATTGAGGCTGAGCGGATGGCAACGGTTGCCCCGCCTGTGATGGTAGTCCGAAGTCACCTACCTTTGGTGAATTAAGCTATGATGGCAATCCAAGGTCATCTACTGCGGACGAACTAAGCTATCCTAGACAACTACGAGAGGCCGTGGATACCTCTTGAAGCGTGGTGAGTTTGGATGAGCTCGAGCTCGTCCCTATATCCTGGATCTATAGTAAATTTGTACAGGCAAAATCTTTATATGAGGAATTTCTGTGATGATTGACACATGGCATTGGAGTGTCTACCTTGAGAACCAACTTCAGGGCTTTGTAGGTTAACCAAAGAGAAGATCTAAGCTAAAGAAGGATTTAGAGTTCTTCGCAACTACATTTGGCGTCATCTGGGGGAATCGAGCTAAAAGCCTTGTCAGTGATTATTTTAAGATGGTTAATACACATTCAACTCAGTGCGGGAGTCCTCAACAAGCCCAAGGAGGCGGTCAATTTCCTAGTAACCCATGCCTCAAATTGTGTCACCTCCTGCTATCCAACATCAACATGCAAAAGAAGCAAGAGAAATAATCCACAACACCCAGGTGTAGTCCCAAATGATGCCATAGTTGCCCAACTCAATGCTATGCAGTAGTAGTTCGACGTGTTCCAACTCGTACTTGCATAACTATTGGCCAAAGACAACCTAAGTGATCCCTCTTCACCCTATTAAACCCAGCCAACCACGCAACCAATCACCAGCCTTAGCAAAATGCTAACTCTCAAGTTCGAAGTGCAGGTCCATCTCGAAGTGAGTCTCTTGGCCAATCCTACATGGCACCTCCACCTCCTAACCCACCTCAACCAGTTGCTTTAGATATTTCCAAAAGGCTGGACAACCTGGAAATGATGATGGCAAAAAATCAAAATGCACCACCCTCAGTTCAGCTTAGCTCAACCTCTATCCGTACTCACCTTAACACCAATATCATCTAGGAACCATACCCATCAGGATTTAAAATGCCCCAATTCAAGACATATGATGAGACCAAGGATCTTGATGATCACTTGCATGTATTCTATTCCATTATGCAAGCTCAAAATGCCTCAGATGCTTTGATGTACAAGATGTTTCCCTTTACATTGCGTGGCAATGCTCGAACTTGGTACTATAATCTGTGGCCGAACTCAATTAGTTCATATGTCGAGCTGGTAACATCTTTCGCCACTAAATTCTTAAGTCAAAGGTTGATAAAAAAGATAACACTCGAGCTCATTCGGGTAATCCAAAGGGAAGGTGAGTCCCTGAAGAACTACATGAACATGTTCAATGATGCCGTGTTAGAAATCAACTCATTTGACCAATTTGTAGGAATAGCTTCCATAATCCAAGGTCTTAGTGATGAGCTAATTCCACTCTAGCAAGTGTACTAGTTCGTTCAAGTAATATAATGATGAAAATAGAGTATCGTCCCACAGAGACCGTAGACTAATTAAGTACCAAAATTAATGAACTCTAATTTTATTTGAACAATTGAAATTAAATGATTTGAATAAAGTAAATAACTAAACTAATTAAAGAAAAACTAAATTAACTTTGAGTAACACCAAGAATTAAAAGTCTAAGGCATCCGACTTCACCATCATCAACTAATATAGAATTTTAGATCAATATAGTTCCAAGGTATTTATTATTCACGTGACAGCGGGATTTCCTAATTTATTCGATATACTTTCTCAAGTTATACCAAACCTATCTTCACCTATTAACCCACTATATCTCTATGTGAATTTAAATAGATAAAGACGCATTATGTTCTATGAAATTCCCTAGTTTACGTAGAAAATTAAGTCCACTTATCACTAATGCTGCACAAATCACGTTGGTCCATCTCTGGCTTTCGTTCAATTCATGGTATATATTACTAAAAGCTATTGCATAAAATCTCCTCTCGGTCTCAATTATGCTCTTAAAATCAATTTTAATGGTGGCCAATCATCAAAAAGCATTAAGAACAATAATATATACTCAACATGAAATAATAACCCTTGAAAATATAAAAATCATGAAATTCTATATTAAATTGATCAGGCTACATCGTAGCCTTAGATGGAAAAATTAGTTCATATTAAACATGGTAAAATCTGAGATTAAATTGATGAACCACAATTCCATATCCAAACAAAGGAAAAATAAGTCTAGAAGAGCAAAAACCCAATTTGTAGAACTCAGATCTGTAGCCTGAAGTGTCCCCAGCGGCTGCCCTTGCGTCTACCGTCACTCACACAGAATCTGCGCAAGCTTCTACCTCAAACTCACCTCAAAGCTCTCTGCCGGCTGCCTCCCTGGTTTCTCTGCAGTCTTCCTCCGGAAGTCCTCCAAAAATCCCCTTTTTATATCGAACCATGTGCGAAAACTCCGTGCCCTTCTTTTTCTAAGCCCATCTTATCTCCTTGTGGAGATAAATCCCATCTTGTTTTGCCACGTGTATGCAGAAGGCAATTTCAATTCTGGTCTCTGAATGGGAAAATCATGGAACAGACTTGATGTTTTCAGCTTTTGTCACTTCAGCCCATTTACTCTAGATTTCTTTAGTTTTACCCTCTACCTACAAAGAATGATAAAAGCAATGTAAAACCAAATAAAATCATTCCAATAAAATATAAAAGACTACAATTCATGACTAAAAAGCCATGTATAATTGTATGAAATTTAAGCTCATCACTTAGCCATGAGCGATTCTGAGATAATTTAATCAAGCATCCACCTACCACCTTCGATGAGGCCAATGAGAGATCTTGCAAGTTTATTACAGTTGAAGAGTATGCTCTATCCCGTAAGTCCGCACCTGGCAAAGAAATCAGAAGTCCCACATGGAGGGAAAAGGAGCAAAATAAGAAGAAGTTCAAGATTGTGCAGAACCAAGGTCTACTTCCTATCTCCAAAGTTGACAAGCCCAATCCAAGCATCTCACAAATCACATTGAAGTAGCTCACTTGGACCTCATTCACATTGTTGAGGCCACAAATTCTAATGCAAATAAAAACAAGATAGAGCTTAGAAGGCCTCCACCTATGCAAAGTCTACCCACCTCTAGAGATCATAGTAAGTATTGTGACTTCCACCAAGATCATGGTCTCACACCAGGAAAGAATGTAATAGTTTGAAGTCTAAGATAAAGGCTTAGCTCGCAAAGAGATGTTGAATGAGTACATCTCAAGCAGGGACCATCTCAAGTATGTACGAGAATAGGGACAACAGTCCTAAGGAGCTCGAGATGCAAGTAATAAAACCGAAGTTGGTTATCAACAAGCCTTGCCTCCACTCCCTACGCCAACAAGAATCATTCACATGATAAATGGGGGGCTTGAAGTAAGAGGAACAAGTTTTAAACAACAAAAGTTGTATGTGAGGGAGGTTAAACCAAAGAAGTCAATTTCGTACCGTATCGGTTTTTTAAGTAGACTGAAATAGTATAATATTAATTTTCGTTTTGGTCAAAATTCGATCATTTCGGTCAAAATTCGATGTACCGGCCGGTTCACCGAAATTTCAGCCAGTACACACTAGCAAATTAAAAAAAAAAAAGGATTCCCTGGCCCAAAACGACGTCGTTTTGGGCTAGGGGCTTCGTGCAATTGTAATTTCCGGTACACAAAAATCGTCCGCACAACTCAATTTAAATTTAAAAGAGTAAATTTCATTTTTGGTCCTTAACTTTAATGTTTTATATAATTTTCATCCTTTAACTTTTTTATATACTTTTTTAGTCCATTCTTCATTTTTTTTAATCCTTTTATCAATTATTTTGTTAAATTTGTCTAAATATACACATTTTTAGTCCCTTAATTTAAAGTGAATGGAAGAAAAATATGCATATATTAGAAGTTGAGGGACTAAAATTTGATCATTTTAAACTTATTTTCAATTTATAGAAATATGATGGTTTTAAATATTAGTATCCCTTATTTTATTTTATAATTTGATATTTAATTTATAAAAATATATATATTCATAGCAATAAATTTGAAACGGTACGTGAAAAATTTTAATATCCGGTATGTACCATTCCAGTAACAAAACTGGTATGCATGCCGGTACGGTATTGACTCCTTTGGGTTAAACACCAGAACTGAGCTCAGAAGAGGAAGTTTGACGACGCGGATTGGAAGAATCAACCCATCACATTCACATCCATCGACCTTGATGGTGTTGTTACACCACATAATGACCCATTGGTCACCTCAGTCATCATCAATAACTATGAAGTTCAACGTGTCCTTGTTGACACCAGAAGTGCTCTTAACATCCTGTATTATCACTGTTTTGAGAGCCTCAGCCTTAATCCTACTCTTTTGGCTTAATTTAATTTTTAGTCTATTAACTATCACCTTGATTTCATTTTAGTCTAGAAACTATGTTTTATTTCTAAGTGGTCTATTAACTTTCAGATTCATTTCAATTTCGTCTACTTGGTCAAATATAACGGAAAACTTACTATGCTGTTAGAGAACAGTTAGTCCTTGACTATATATTTTTTTATCTTTTAGTCCTTAAATTTATATTTGTTATAAAAATAGCTTTTTTACTTAAAATTATTATTTATATGCTCTGATATCAGATTTTTATACGGGTTTTCCTATTTCTTTAATTTGGTATCGAGCCTGAAAGTTAATAGATCACTTAGAAATAATAATTTTAAGTATAAAAATATGGTATCAGAGTTTAAAAATAATAATTTTAAATATAAAAACTATTTTTATAACAAATATAAATTTGAGGACTAAAAGATAAAAAAAATATAGTTAGGGGACTAACTGTTCTCTAACAGAATAGGAAATTTTCCGTTATTTTTGACCAAGTAGACGAAATTGAAATGAATCTGAAAGTTAATAGACCACTTAAAAATAAAACATAGTTTCTAGACTAAAATGAAATTAATGTGATAGTTAATAGACTAAAAATTGAATTAAGCCCTACTCTTTTATATGATGACTTTATCTATGGGGTCAACAATCAGTCAGTCCGTGTGGAAGGGGTGCGAAGGCTCAATGTGGCCTTTGGTTTAGGTCAGACATATGTAACCTCTTCAGTTTGATTCTTGGTTGTGAAGATGGCTTCGTCTTTCAACATTGTTATTGGGAGGCTTACTCTGACCAAAATCCAAGCTGTCATCTCACAATCCCACCTATGCATGAAATTTCCTATGCTTGTAGAAGTGGCAACTTTGAAAGGCAACCAAGAAATAAACAGAGATTGTTATATGCCCTTTGTCACCCGACCTTAGAAAGACAAGGAGGCAACTCAGCTACCAAAGCTAGCTCAACCAGAGGCCTTAAATAACCAACAGGTGATGCGTGTAGAATTGCTAGACAACTAACTTGACGATGAGGCTAAGGCCACCCTAGTTGAAGAAGTGGAAGAGGTGTAAATTGATGATAATGATCCCACTAGGGAAACACAGATCGAAACAAAGCTGAGCTCGAAGGAGAGGGAATAGCTCATAGACTTTTTGAAGGTGAACAAGGATGTGTTTGCATGGACCTCGACGGACATGCCCGAAATTCCAACCTTAGTTGTAGAACACAAGCTAAGCACCAATCCCTTGAAGAAACCAGTAGGTCAAAAAGATGTTTGCTTAGAGGGGAGAGGCTTCAAGCCATTGAGGAAGAAGTATAGAAGCTCTTACAAGCTGAATTTGTAAGGAGACAGACTATTGTGAATGGGTCACCAATCTTGTTCTGGTGAAAAAATTCAATGGCAAATGGAGAATGTGCATCGATTACACCAATCTTAATGATGCATGTCCGAAGGATTACTACCCTATGCCAAGTATAAATAAGCTGGTAGAAGCTGCATTTTGAAATGAAAGATTGAGCCTCTTGGATGCTTACTCGGGCTACCATCAGGTTCGCATGGCACCTGAGGACGAGGTCAAGACCTTCTTTTATGTAGAGGACGAGATATTTTGCTATGTCATGATGCCTTTTGGGCTAAAAAATGTGGGGGCTACATACCAAAAAATGGTGACCATTGTGTTTCGAGCTCAGATCGGTAGAAATTTCTAGGTCTATATGGTCAACATAGTGGTCAAGAGCCTTAAAGCTGAAGATCATCTAACTGACTTAGCCAAGACATTCGACAACTTAAGGAAGCATAACATGAGATTGAATCCTGCGAAATGTGTCTTCGGCATCAAATTAGGCAAGTTTCTAGGGTTTATGGTCTCTCGGAGGGGAATAGAGGTCAACCCTGAGAAGATCAAGGCGATAGAAGAAATGAAGCCCTCAAAGTCAGTTAAAGATGTACAACGTTTAACTAGACGAGTTGCAGCTTTGTATAGGTTCATCTCTAAATCAGCAGACAAATGCCTACCTTTCTTCAAGGTTTTGAGATTCATAACTCAGAAAGATGAAGTAGGAAAACTAAAGTTTAAATGGACTCTGCAGTGCCAAGCAGCATTTGATGAGCTTAAGAGATACCTCAGTTTGCCACCTTTGTTGACCAAAGTTGAGGAGGGGGAGATCCTTTACCTCTACCTTGAGGTATCAGATACAATAGTAAGTTCTGTTTTGGTTTGAGAAATAGGAAAGCAATAAAAACCAGTGTATTACGTAAACAAGGTGTTGCAAGGTGCAGAACAAAGATATTTAGTAGTAGAGAAGGCAGTTCTTGCGTTTATGACCATAGCTAGGAAATTGAGGCCATATTTCCAATTCCATCCAATCATTGTGCTGACTAACCAACCTTTAAGGCAAATCTAACAAAAGCCAGAGTGCTCTAGTAGGCTAATTCAGTGGGTAGTGGAGTTGAAAGAATTCTATATCACATTTTAGTAGAGGTCCACAGTTCAAGCTCCGATTTTAGTGAATTTTATAGTGGAATGTACTCCTCATCAGATGAATTCAAATGTTGAAACAGAGTTGTGGACCCTCAATGTTGATGGGTCGTCTAACAACAAAAGGTCAAGAGTAGGGGCAGTGTTGATTGGCGCTGACAATTTTCAAAATGAGCATGCATTGAAGTTCAATTTTAAGTCAACAAATAACATGGCTGAGTATAAAGCATTAATTCTAGGACTTCGTTTGGCAGCCAAGCTAAAAGTCAAGCACATCCAGATCTACAACGACTCCTAACTTGTGGTTAACCAAGTGAACTCTACATGTGAAGTGACAGATCCCACTTTCACGAAGTATGTGACAATAGTTTCTCAACTAAATAGCCAATTTGGAAAGTTCTAGCTCACCAAGATCTCCAGGTTAGAGAATGAACAATTTCTTGTCAAAAATAACCTCTAATAGCTCTAATAGGACAGGGTCAGTTCATGTTGAAGTCCTTAGTGAGTTGAGCTTCCAAAAGCTGAGGACAATGGAGATCAACTCTAACCTAGGAACTCCCAATTGGATAGACATTATCAGAGCATACCTCCAAGATGGCACTGTCCCAGATGACAAGCAAGAGGAGATGAAATTGCGAGCAAGGCATCTTAGTATACTCTAGTTGGTGGTACACTATACATGAGGTCATATTCGCTCCCTCTTCTTCGCTGTTTGACTTCGTACGAAGCTGAGTATGCCTTTTGTAAGGTACAGAAAGGTGTATGTGGGAGCCATGTGGGAACTCAAACTTTGACTCATAAGGTACTTTGACAGGGATACTATTGGCCTAACATGCAACAGGATGTAAAGCAGTTTGTGTAGAGGTGCCAAAAAAAGCCAATTCTTTGCACATCTTACTCACCAGCCAGTAGAGGAGCTCACTAATTTAGTTGCACCATGGCCTTTTGCCCAATGGGGCATAGATCTTTTGGGTCCTTTTGTCAAAGGTGTAGGGGGAGTGACACATTTGATTGTTGCTTTCGATTATTTTACTAAATGGGTGGAAGCTCGGCCTTTCTCCAACTTGACCTCAAAAAGGATTAAAGACTTTGTATTTAGCTCAATTATCTACAGATATGGGATATCAAACTAGATTGTTGCAGATAATGGATCTCAGTTCAATTGCATTTCTTTCAAAGACTTTTGTTCTAGCTATGGGATTAAACTAGTGTTCACTTTAGTATACCATCCAAAGGCCAATGGCATGGATGAATTTATTAATAAAGCTATCTTGGAAGGGATCAAATTAAGGTTAGATCAACTCAAAGCCAAGTGGGTAGACGAGCTGAATAATGACCTTTTGTTATACCAAACTATGAGTCAAATAGCTACAGGTACACCCTCTTATCCTAACCTTGTTCTTTAATAATGTTATTTGAACTTATACATTATAAAAACAAACTAAAACTCAAATTGTAGTTTCTTTCAATTAGGGGAAACACCCTATTACTTAGCTTTTGGGACCGAGGAAGTCTTCCTGTCAAGGTCGAAGTCCCGAGCTTGGGAGTTAGCTATTTTGTCGCAATGCGAAATGAGCAGCTACTCATGGAAAACCTAGATTTTCTAGACAAAGTTTGTGAGCAAGCTTGACTTCACATTCTAGTATATAAGTAGAAGTTAGCCAGCTTCTACAATAAGTGAATCCAACCTCAAACCTTCAATATCAGTGACCTCATCCTCAAAAAGGTAGGACTCATTAGCTTCGAAACTCACTTCGGCAAATTAGCGTCGAACTGGGAAGGTCCTTATGTAATAACTGAAATACCTCACCCAGGCGCCTATATATTTGAGGATGCCAAGGGAAAGAGAGTTCCAAGGGTTTAAAATGTAAACAATTTAAAGAAATTTTATCTCTAATAACGGTTGCTTATTTTGTCGTTTGCTTAATTGGCTTCTACAATGTCATTCTGGTTGTTATTGAGCTCACTGAAGCCATTTTACTTTGGTTTTAATGTTAAATTCTACTTTAATTTTTGATACCAAGTTAACAGTCCAATTTAAATGCTCAAAATCTTTTTCCGACAGATGAAACATATTGGAATATAAAGTCATTTATAGACAATTATTATATAAAAATATTGTTCTCAAATTAAAATTAAAAACTACAAAGGATTCGTCGAGCTAAGCTAAACAGTAAGGACGACCTACAGAGGTTAATCTATGATTTGGTGCTCTTGGTCCACTTATTGGTTCTGGATGTTGTCCCCAACCTCTGGATTGCCCACGGCCTCAGCCTCCTCGTCCTCGACCCCAAACTCATACTCCAACTCAGAAGGATAAACAATCCATCCACTTTCATCTCGGTTCCATTTTAGTTTCACCTCGGGATGAAAGTTAGCAATTTTACTCTCTTCATCCTCTTCCACTCCCCACTCTTGAGGTCCAAATGTGATTGATGTCACATCCACCTTAGGATGCTGGGCTTTTACCATTTTCTTATAGTTGGTAAAAGCCAAAACCATGGTAGGGAGCCTATGGAGGTCAACTATCTCCGAGAATGTGCTAGACTTGACAAAGTTCGAGATGTGTCATTCCTTTGAGTTGTGGACTTTGAGCCCTGCCACTTTCCACACCTCTTCCAGCTCCTTGTCCCTCTTATCAAGCTCATCCTCACAAAGTTTCTTCTTCTTGTTGACGAGCTTGGCAACCTTCTTTGCAGTTGCTAACTCCCCTCTAAACTTCTCGAGTTCGGAAGTTAAGCTATCAAAATTTTGCTTAGCTGACTCCTTCTGTTTACTCAGCTCGTCATTTTCCTTTACGAGCTTGTTGCGCTCCTTAAAACACTCAAAATATTCAACCGCGAGGGCGTTCACAAGATTTACAGTTTGCAAAAAAGCTTAAGTAAAAAAAAAAAAAAAAAGGAGAGAGAGAGAGAAAAGAAAGATGAACTACCTCAAGGGCATGACGCACAACCCCAACTCCACCATTTAGGTCCACCTCTTCCCTCGCTTTCCTCAAGTCCCCCTCAGGGAAGGTGGAATTGATAAAGTTCTTGACCATTGTTCTGCTTACACCTTTAAACAAGCTTGGTCATTACACTGGCCAAGGTACGATGCTCTTCCCTTGCCGTGGGTTACCACTCCCACTTCCTACTAAGTTGGATTAATTTCAACGGTCGGAGGTTGAGGTACGAACTCGATCAGCACCTCATCCTACTCTTGCTGTTGCTGTTGCTCCACCCTCTTCCTTTTCTGTACGACTATCCCCTCTTGTTCCCGTGCAAGTTTGACAATCTACCTGACAGCTAAAGACACACGAGCCTAGATGATGATAGCTTGACTTCCGAAGGTCCCAGCTCCCATGCATTCCTCCACTTTAACAAGCCATAAGGATCTTTGACCTTTTCTGAGGAAGAATGCCCTTAACACCAGCAAGAAAACGGTTCATCTCTTTTACAAAACAAAATAGTTAAAATTGTATGTTGTGTAATTATAAACAAGAAGAGTTGAGCTAAACGAACCTTCACTAAGGGAGCTCCTTCCATATAGCTCAACAGCATCTATCATCTTCGAGCTTGTTAGATGCATCACATCTAACACCTCCCCCCTACCCTAACCAACCTCTTCATCTCTTCTTGTTCCCCCTTCCCCAACTTGTACTTATTCAGGTTGGCTTTCTTCACCCCCCATTTACACAAAGCTTTCACCTTTGCATTCGTCTTCCCTCACTTTGTGTCATCCACAAAAAAGTACTTGTCCTTTGAACCTTTGATTGAGGACGGCCTAAAGTTGAATAGGTTTCTCCTTTCTTTGGCAACATGGGATGTGAAGTAAAACCACCCTTTCTCCTTATTGCTTCCCCCTTTGATTAGGAAGAAATGATTAAAGAGATTCACCGTTAGGATCAGGACCCTTCAAATTCGACAGTACACGAGGGAACGTAATTACTAGCTGAATTATGTTAGCAACAAGTTGCGTCAAACCCAACCCATACTCTCTCAAAAGTTCGACTAGTAGCTCAGGAATGGGGAACCTCAGCCCTGCCCCCAAATAATGTCCATACGCGAGTATCCAATGGTCGCACAGAGCTAAGCGTGAGGGGATTCCGTAATTATCTACCAAGTGTGACAGGTCGTTCCTATCTTCTAGGAGGCCCTGTACCCCACCATTTCAGATACTATTTGCTCTCCCTCATTGTAGCACTTCAACCTATTATCATCTACTTCCAAAGTATTGGAAGGGACATCTACCCCTTCACTTCCTCCACTTCTTGAGCTCTCCACCTTAGCCTCATCCGACCCTTCCCTTATTGGTCACACCTCTTCCCCTCACCAATATTTAGCGTTTCCTTGGAAAACATCTCCTCTTTCTCGTAACTCTCACTACAAGGAGTAGGGGGAAGAGAGTAGTTAGGATCTTTAGCAAACTCTCGCTCACGCTCTATCTCACTCTCTAACCTAACTCTAACTTCCCTAAGTGAACTTAAATCTAAGTCTGAGAGTGTTAAAGAAATGTTAGATTCTTCACTTAAACCAAAGGCAAAGCTCATGAGGGTTTACCTAGATTTTCGAAAGCTGAACTGAAACACTTAAGAATTTGGAGTAGATTGAAACCTGACCCTAAGGCTCAAAGCTCGAACTCGGTATACTGTAGCTCAGACATCAAAGTACTCTAGCACAATTTTGGCAGCGCTTCACAATAACTTCAGCAAGGTAAAACTATAAATTACCTAAGGGTGCCTATTTATACTAAGGCCTCAATTCCCTCAACAGTCACGATCGTTTGCTTCCGACAGCTATGATTGCATCTTTTCGAATTCGACGGTTATTCCTGACTGCTCCCGTTTATTATAGAATGTCACATGAGAACAGCTGTCAACTCTTAAATTAACCCACTTTCAATTTCATTCCAAAGGCCTGTCCAAATTTGATGTAACTATGTTAACTATCTTTTAAATGTATTCACACTCAATCATGCTATTTTTACTTTGGCTCCGGCCATAAATTACATGACCACGTGTCATGCTATTTTTATTTCGACTTCAACCATAAATTACATGATCACGTGTCATTCTATTTTTACTTCGGCTCTGACCATAAATTACATGATCACGTGTTATACTATTTTTACTTTGACTCCAGCCATAAATTACTAGACCACGTGTCATGATATTTTTACTCTGGCTAAGGCCATAAATCACATGACCATGTGTCATGCTGTTTTTACTTCGATGTCAATGACATGTTACGTCTCTACCCATCACTTCCACTCCAGTTATAACTCATATATAATCATCACCCACACAACTCCCACAATATTCACAAGTGAATGACTCCTGGGGAGGAATAGTGTGATGGTAGTCTGAAGTCACCTACCTTGGGCGAATTAAGCTATGATGGTAATTCGAGGTCATCTATCACAGACGAACTAAGCTATCTTAGACAACTACGAGAGGCCTTGGACTCCACTTGAAGCGTGGTGAGTTTGGATGAGCTCAAGCTCGTCCTCTCTATCTTAGATCTACAGTAAGTTCGTACAGGCACAATCTTTATATGAGGAATTTTTGTGATGATTGACACATATGATCCTGGTTATCCGCAAGGAACAACATGTGGGCGCACCCTTTTGAGGGCTATAAATACTCTCCAAGGGTCCTCCCTCAAAGGTAATTGAAAATTGATCTCAAGCTCTCTCTTTGCCTTATTTTTAGCAAATCAGAGTATTACTCATTTAGGCATTAGAGTGTTTATCCCGATAACCAACTTCGAGGCTTTGTAAGTTAACTGAAGAGAAGATCTAAGCTGAAGAAGAATTTGGAGTTCTTTGCAACTACATCGCCCTCTCCATTACATCCTCATTAATGACAGTTAAGAAAATTTTTGTGGAGATTTTTGGTAAAGGGGTAAATAGTACTCTCCATCTTCATTTTCACAAGAGATGATAGGTTTTGGTGGGTTTGTAAATTTCTCATTAAACATTAAAATTATAAATTTTCATTTTAATTTTAATTTTTTTAGTAAATAAATTTTATAACATTGCATAAAAAATAATTTTTGAAATATAAAAATAAAAATTTACAGAAGTAAAAAA